TTGTATCATTTAAGTAGAAATTAATATCCAATTCGATGCATCAAACAGTTTTTGTTTGCTTCCTGTGCGCTGAGTCCTATAGTTATTAAATTTAAATATATCCTTTTTGCGCTTTTCAAGAGCTGAGTAAAAAAATGATTTTACCCGTTTAATGGCAATCATCCGCCATCTATAGCCAAGGAAGCGTAAGCGAATGACAGCTGAAGTAATGAAAATAAATGCAAATACCAAATGGCGGAAAAAGTGTTCAAATGCGACAAATGACGTTCATTGGAAAATTAAAGCAGCTAAAGCCATAAGCTTGGCAATGAATGTATATGGAAATAGTTGACAATTGCAGGGGAATTTAATTGAAAATAGGAAAAAAATAAATGTAGCAGCCATTACGTCAATATGCGTACGTAATTCCCATTCGAAACTCGTCAGTTGTTGCAGTAAAAATAGGCAAAAACAACTCGTTTTTGTTTTTCGGTTGTTTTATAAACAACACATAAAATATTAATAAAGGCAAGTCTGACATATGGCGGACACGTGCTCCTCGTATATCTTGATGTATACAATTTTTTAGTATCCTCCAAACTTTCGGCACTAATGTGCCTGGCCATATTCGGAGCCCGAAAACCTTTTAAGAGGTGCCCATTAAACTTGTCTCCGCTATGAAACAAAATGGCGCTAAGAACACCCACACACAATGGAGTCCATACAAAGTGTCTCACACACATATGTACACTTACAAATGCATTCAGGAAGAGCCAGCGGGTTATTGCTAATCAACTCACGTTTTCGCTGCTCGTTTCAAAATGTATTTTGTGACGCCATTTTGAACCGAACTCGAGTTGAACGTCTGCCGGCGCCGTCTTATCACCCCGGGCTTATCAAATTCATCGTTAGCCCTCAGCCTGATTCCAGTTAAAGGTAACAGGGGCAAGGCCAAGAGGGGTTTAATAGTTGCCGCTGTCAGGCGCTGATTAAAATGAAGTTGACTTCAAGTACATCCGTCAGTTGCTCAGTCAAGTCACGCATTGAATTGTGTTCGTTTCGGGGGATTCCTCATTCTTTTTTATATCAGTAAGTGTTTTTTTTTTTGTTATTTTCTGGCGTTTACTTGCATGCTTTGTCTTTGCTGTGAGCCCGTACCACCCCTTTTGCATTCAAAGATATCTGTCAGCGGCATGCGAACTCATTTGATTTATTTTTTGCTCTCAAAGAAATCATTCTTGAGAACGTAGACTGCGTTTCGGAGGGTGGGATAGGCTGGGAGTAAGGTTTATTACTGCTGCACTGACTACCAAGGCTTTCGGCTTTTGTTTCAATTCACAAAGAAGCTCCACAGGATATAGCCCACCACAGTGGTTTGTGCTTTCAGTTCAAAAAGCTAATTAAGTATAAAGAAATAAATATTTTGGGGAGATGCAAACGAAAGCTGTCTTGATAAATCTCATATTTAAATCGTAGAATCGTTTTCATTATTGCATCATTGTAGCTGTCAAGCGACTTTATTACCTAGATTCTCAAATAAACAGAGCCGTCAGTTGCACTCGCATTCCTTCTGTTGACACTGCCACAATCGAAAACCCTACTTCCTATATATGAACATACAATTTATATATATGTGTATATTTTACTCGATCCTTGGCCAGGCTGTGTGTGAGCTGTCCACCTTTTTCATGTCTTCGAGGACGAAACAAAACCTAATATATGGCATACACCAAGGCGGCTGAAAATACCACATTTACGATTTAAGAGGGCCTGGCGCAAATAATTTCGTTGGGTCACGTGTCATAAATACAGTTGGTAGTCCTCCTGGCAGTGGCTTTTCCAGCACGTTTTTCCAGAAATTTTCATGCATACATACATGCATAGATGCGGTGCCGGTTGGGGGAGTGAAATCTAATTTTCCGCAGATTTTACCATGTGCAGCTGGATTTTTTGTGCCTGGCCCAGACAATGACCTCGACCGGTTGGAAGTTCCGATGTTGGCTTACTTATTCTTGTCGCTAGACTGGACACCAACGAATTGGCCCCGATACCACCTAGCATGAATCTAATTTGCATGTCGTTTCCCCTTCTCCATCCCATCTGGCCTCGAAATACTCCCTGATGACTCGGCCGGAATGGGTTGGTGTGTCGATGCGCAGTATCGAGTGGAGAGCTGGCTCAACTGACAGTCCTCTGTCTTCGATGCATTAACCCACAAAGTGTAGCTGAAATTGGAGTTGCAGCTCTGGCCATAAAATTGCCTTTGCCCGGCAGATTTAAGTGTCCGGCAGTTTGACAGATTGATCTTGTTTCCTACAAAGCCCGAATTAATATCGAAGGGGTTGCCAAAGTAATTGAGCCATCAAAATCCGTTTTGGCAATCAAAAAAATGTACTCATTAAAAATAAATACTACTCTGTATTTAAAACTCAAACAGACTTTAAATGATTAACTATTTTAAGTTACTATCTTAATCTATATATTACATGCTAAATATTATTGCTTCATTTTAAACGTTCTCATGGTGGCATTTATCATTGCCACCAGATCCTCTCTCACGCTTTTAGCCAGCTATAAATCTTTGCCGGGCGGCATTGTCCTGCTGCTGCGTTGCAGCCTTTGAAATGCCAGTTCAAGTTGCCCCGTAAGTGGCTTAAATGTTGAATTTCAAATACAATGCGAACGGGGGGAGTCGGGACCTGAGGGCCAAAAAAGGAGAAAAATAAAACAGGACACATGGCCCAGCCGGATGAGGGCAGGACGAGCTGTTCGCATTGTGCCGAGTGCCAAGTTATGGGCCTGGCCTCCTCGCATCGCCATTGCCATCGCCATCGCCGTGTGCCATGAATGTCCTTATAAATTGTCTGCAATGTTAAATGTTGCATGTGTCTGCCCTCCCTACTTTGGGCCCTTCAGTTCCCCTCTTCCTTATCCCTTGACTGGTTTGTGTGGGCTGGCTTTGACTTTGGCTGCAGTTTTGCCTGCAGCTCAGGAATTTATGGCGCTGCCTCTGGCGTACAAGTAGATGTGAGCTGGTGAACTGGTCTTCCACATGTCTATATGTGTGTGTGTGTCTGCCACTAATCAGCACACGTTTTAGTTGCCCCGTCGTTGCAGGAAGTGGAAGTTGAAATTGTTAAAAGCAATAAAGCTAATAAGTGATGTGGCAAATGTGCGGCCTCGCTTTGGTTTTGCTTCCACAAGAGAGCGAGTGTGTGAAAGTGGAACCATTTTCCATTTCCCCACTGCCATACTCGCCATTCCGTCCACGTGGCCATCGCCAGTTTTCGAGTCCGTTCCCAGTGCCAGCGGCACGGGAAATCAGCAATTAGTGGCATACCCAACGCCCTAAGCACTGGGACCTGGTTAGGACCGACTTCACACAACTAGTCGGGGACAAAACAATAATTCTTTTCCTAAAACGGAACATATAAATTATAATTTTAAGCATTATTTAAGACTAAAGTAGTAAGCTCAAAACATATGGATTTATAACAAAAAATATAAAAATGAAGAGTCCTGTACAGAGTGCTACCTTCTTGACCGCAATCGTATAAAGTTGTGTGAGTTTATGCTCTGAGAGTGTGTAAGAGTGTACCGGGTGGGCACGCATTTCCGTCAGCGCCATCTGTTTCCGGCCTCTCCTCGTTGCACTTTGACCTGGCTGCTTGGAAGCCCGAGCTGAGAAAGGATACAGGGGTGGGGGCGAAAAGCCCCTCTCCTCTGCTTCCAATGTTTGCCTGGCTTTTGTGCGGCATGCTCGTCCTGGGCCGTGTAATTTTATGACTAATTAGTCAGCTAGTACGTCAAGTTGGTAACTACATAAAAACCCCAGCGATGACTCCGTTTAACCCAAGTCTATTACAGCTGTTGGGCGTCGATCAGGGCGGCAAAGGGGGCGTGGCCATTTATTTGCCTTGCTGCGCTTTTAATTGCTCGCAAGCAATTTTCTTTGCCTGTTTACTGCCATCAGAGCAGCCATCAGAAGCTGCGACTTCAACTGCAACTGCAACTGCCTCCGGTGTGTCTACAAAGTTGAGTTGCAGTTTTAGTTGGCTATTGCTGTCGGGCTATGCTCTTCTGATTTGCTCGGCTTTCTTTGTTGCCAGCTTTTTGCATTCTTTGTTCTTATTCGGCTTTGTGTAATTTTCCATCATAAAACACACAAAGCACAAAGGAAGACATCCTCGCCATCTGTCTACCGTCTTGCGGTTGCTTAAAGCCAATTTCTGCAACCTTAGCACAACCTTAACTTATCACATATACATAGCATTATGCTAATCAACGGCTAGCAAGTATTTCATTAAATTAGCAAAAGCAACGACAAATTATTTCCGCGGCTAAATGATCCACATCCGCTGCATGAAGCTCATTTGTAAAGGTCCTGCCGGTTCAGACGTGGCGTGTTGAATTTAAATCTCCACTCCACTTACACGAAGGACACAGAAAAGTCGAAAAAATTTAAATGACAAGCAACTAATGGGAATTGCCAACAATTCTCCCAGGCAGGTGGCGACGGCGGCAGGTGGTGCAAAAGTTTGCCACCTCTGGCCAACCTTTGCATCGAAAATCAGCTAACAACACAACAAATGGCTTCATTTATTTGCGTCTTTTGTGCGAGGTGAACGGAACTTCCTGCCACCAGGTGATGGAACAAGAATGGGGCTGGAGCACAGCTTAGAATCTTTTGCTAAAGCACCGCCTTAAAAATCCAAAAGTGTGCAAAGTTTACACTGAAATGGTTGCCGCCTCCAAGGGCTGAGCACAAGTAGCGAAAAGAAACAAACTATTTGTATATATTTCTATATATAAAGCAAGTTGCAGCTGCACTTCGCCGTGATTGAATGCCCAACACCGACAGCCGTTAATGTGCTTGGGGTTTTTCTCTGGGAAAACTTGTTGGTGGTCGGAGGGACCAAAGGAAAGTTGTAACTTAAAGTTTTGGTCAAAAAATATAGGTACATGTACATATATGTACAGATGTAATTATAGCAATTAGGAGAAAAAATACCAACTTGAGACATGATGCTATAATTTTTTTTTTAACTTTCACATTGTTTATGTCAGATATTATTATTACGTTCTGCGCTACTTGGATCAAAGGGAGCCTGCCTGGACCTCTGCCTCCTAGTGCTCATGTCACTGGATACCAGTCTTTTCAGGTCCATCTCCTCTGCATTTACTTTTATGCAAATATCAATAAAAAGGCAAAGCTCCATGTTTTTCATTCGCTTCGCCAGCTCAAAGGCCTTGGAAAGAGTATCCTTTTCCCGTTCAATCTTCCCCAGAATGGCGTGAGCCTTGCATATGACCATTAGACTGAGGAAACTCCATACAATACTCTTGCATCTGGTGGCCTCTGTAAAATACAAAAATACGATTGTGATGTGTAAAAACTAAAACTAATCTGAATCAAACCCTCAAAAGCCTTGCGGGCTAAAGAGCAGCCTGTGTCAAATGAATTATTGTCCAAATGAGACTGAGCCAATTCGTGCAATAAATACGCGCGTTCAATGGGATATTCGGCAAACAGCATTCGTTTCTCATATCGTGCAACGTTTTTCCTAAAATAAATAATATATGTTGTGTATTATTTATAAATGAAAAAGATACGTTTTACCAACTTGAATTTCTCCGCCTTGGGATCGGTCAAATCCGACCTAGCTAAATACAAAGGTCCCGCCTGTTTGGGTTTTTTACTTTGAAGCTCTAAATTCTTTTCAACGGGCAGCTTGAATAAGGTCAGTAGACGTTGTTTGCCTTGCAGGACAGTCATGTTGCTAGGAATTTTGAATTCATTAAGGCGGGCTAAACCAAGGTAGTTATAGACCTCGTTAATGAATTCAAATTTCCACGGCATGACGCGATGCGTTTTTATTGTAGTATAGTCACCCATAACCTCTTCGATAAAGTTCGATAGTTTCTGGGGGAAAAACACAAACACAATTAAATGTTAAATACAATCTTCCATAAAGTTTCATAGTTTCTGGGGGAAAACACACACACAATTTAATAAGAATTAGTCGCAGAATTATTCTGATTACAGTATGCTCGGAAACATGAAATCTTAAATCGGTCTGACATTTTTATGACTATAGCTTCTTGGAATGCTTCATATATAATATTTTACTTGCTAATCATTTTATTTGTAGATTGCTGTTTTTTAAAATTATAGAGAATTTTACACTTACCCGTAGGTCACCAACCCTTATCAGCTGTCTGATGCTCCTCAGAATCTTAAACATATTTCTTCTTGTTTGATACTGAATGCGGTAAAGATTTTCCTCTTTTTGTTTTGTCCAAAGAGCTGCATTTGGATATTTCTGCTGATGCTGGGCATACATAGGACATCGAGTATGTAGCATTTTCTAAAATAAAAAATATGTAATTACTATATTTGCTTATAGTATTTAGACATACACACCGTCATACTGCGCACCATCTTGTAGTTATTATCTATTAGTTTGCACAAGTACTTGGAAGAATTTTCACTGTGCTTGGGGTGCACTTTTTGGTCACTGCGCAATTTCTTCAAAAATTCGACATCCATCCAGCATTTGTTCAAATAAGTCTGATTATATATTTTATAATGACGCTTCCGTCGAGCTATTTCCAAGGGCGATAAAACGGTTTCCTGTATGTAAAAATTGAAGATAACATAAGTCTTCGCATTTGGCTGCGGCTGGGGAAAAAAACAGTCACCTCTTTTTCTATGATGCTAACTACATCGCAGTCTCCCTTTATTTCTTTGGGCTCCTTTGCCAAGCTGACCAACATGCGATTTATCAATCGCTGGACTGCTAGAGTAGTATCCTCCGAAAGGGTGTCGCGGAAGTTTCCATCCACCTTGAAAAAAAATAACAATTATAATATTGGCATTGAAAAGGCGCCATCCTCTATTTTTAAAACTTACCACATTTAGACGGTTAACTACAGACACTCCTTGAGCAGAACTGAAGAGCCTCAGATGGTCGTGCAGCTTTATCTTGGTATCCTCCAATCGATTTGCCTCGTAGAGGGCATCGCAGACCTCCAAACTGACATGCGATTTGCTGACCGGCGACACTTGTTTCTTAAGCAATGCTAAAACATAAGATGAGCTAAAAATCCGTCTTATTACAAACGATCTAACCTTCTGCCCAGGCGCAGTCCTTCAATGCCTCCGCAGCTAGGCCCATTTTTCTCTGTATCTGACTCCGACGTATCAGGGCCTTGGTATTGACTGGATCCAACTTCAGGGCGTTGTCCACGCAATGAAGCCCGTGCCGAAGGCGCCGGTTACGAGACAAGTATATGGCCCAGTCCGAATACATCCTAGTAAGCTGGGCCGGCGTCCAGGCGATTACCTCCCAGGGCTGCAGGTGCGGCTTTACTCCGGCTATGGGCCCTTCGGATGCTGGCAACTGGTTGGCCATCTTCGGTTCAGCTATTTTTTTTGCTTGCAATCACGAAACAAAACAGTAAAAATAAACAGAATAAAAAAAAAAAACGAAGTGTGTAATGTTATGAAATTTTCATTTAATTCTGACATTCAAATTCTAAAGATGTAAAACATTAAAAAAAAATCGGTAAATGATCACATTATCATAATATATATATATATATATATATCTTTATTTAATTTTGCTTTTCATCATTTTTTATAAGAAGCTTAAATTCGCGTGGAAATTGGTTAAGATAGTGGATTTTGTTTGACGTATAAACAGTATATTCAGAGGCATTAATATATTCTCCTTGAAAGGGAGGCAAGCAAATTGGTCGCACCGATGGCGATAAAATAAATGGGTCCTGAAGCTTCAAAAGAGTAAAATCTCCACTAAAATAAAAAAAAGGTTTATTATGATATATGTACATATATTAGGCGTAAGTTACTTGTACCTTTTAGAAATGGATTCGACTTTGTGCAGATTATAGGAATGCTCATGGTCTGGATCGAATGCTTTGGTTTGGTTTCCTTCAGCAATGACGAATTTTTCCACATTGTCCGTTTTAAAGCCATTTTGAAATCGGATAAATACCATCCGTGGACTTACAATAAGTCCAAAGCATTTATGCTTGAATTGGTGTTTGGTCGAGTGCCTTTCGAAAACACTCACGGTCCAGGGCTCTTCCTTAACAGTTTGCGGAATCTTGCCACAGTCGGGTACACATTTAAGTTGTCTTTGGCTCTTCCAAGTCGCGCTCTCGCCGTTCCTCTGACAAATCGCGATTTCCTTCAAATTTTCTATATTGCTCTTGAAGCCTGGGGAACAGGTTATTGTAGCATAAGTGTTGGGTAACAATTGCATATCCATGTCGCGGCAATTCCCTATTTGGCCGTTATAGTCACAGGTGGCCTGGATGGATAGATCGTTGCCGAATTTCGTTCGAGAACAACTGGGACGACACTCGGGCCAAGTTTCCTGCCATTTACCATCAAGGCATTGATTCAAGTCACTTCCAATGCTTACAGTGTTATTTTCACAGATAAGACGCACTACCACTGTGCTGGGTATTTCTGCACCCATCTCATAAGGCAGAACATTGAAAAGCGTTCTCACTGCAAGATTTGTTAAAGACATAGGTATATTGCATCCATTTTTCATTGGAGGTGGAGGAATTCCTGGGGTATACTGAATCGGAGTGGCTCTTCCAGAGGCCTTCTCTAAGGATGAGGGCTTTGTTTTATAGTATTTATTATTTTTAGTGCATATGTCATAAATCTCATCAGAGCCATCATAACAATCAATATAAGTATCACAAGCCTTTTCGATAGGCAGACAACCTCCATATTTACAACGAAAAGTATTTTTGGGGCACATAGAAATAATGCACATGTGAAGGGTCTCATCGCTTCCATCCTGACAGTCCTTAATGCCATCACAAACGAAACTTGGACTAATACATTCTTGGTTATCTGCACACTTGAATTCATGACCCCTAAAAATGTTGAGAATTTCACCAACAAAAAAATATATTTGGTTCTCTTATCAAAATTTGTTTTTTTTTTTAAAACTTGTAGATTGTGCAATTAAATACATAAAACGTATATAAGAATTGCACTTTCTACTCTTTATTTTTTATAAAACAAAATATTCCAACTATCGTTCTATGAAGAACTTCGTTGTTTGTCAAAACTTACTTGCATCCGGTATTATCAGGCTTGTAATTCCGCCATTCTGGGCTGCATTTTCTCTCATGTTCATCGGTTCCATCCCAGCAATCTACATTACCATCGCAAAGTTGTGATTTCTTAAAGCATCCACCATAAGAACACTGCTCCTCGGGACAAGTTTGGTTGTAACATTCAACAAATTTCTCATCACTACCATCGGGACAGTCTCTTTTTGCATCGCATTTTTCATTAGCGAAGATGGAATTACCGTCCATGCATTCATAAAATTCATCTAAAAAGTAAAAAATTTATCTCACCCGTTTCCCATAGACATTTTTGACTCACCAGCAATTATGCCCACGCTAAACCAATATATGATATGAAAAAAAACCCACATTCGAAACATTTTTTGAGTCATCCGAAGCTGTGCTTATGCCAAAATCTCAGAATATAATAAAGCAAAAATCTCATTTTTGTGATATATATATAAGAAAACGACTCTCTCTTAAATTAATTCAAAGAGAGTCGTATTCAGAATTCTAATAAAAATTTTAATTAATTTTTAAGTACTGATAATGCTAAGGAATAGCAAGACGATTTCTAAAACCTAGCCATATTCATTATACCCCGGCAGACGTTATTATAATTTTGGTAAAAAGTGTGAAACGCAGTGAAGGAGACAACTTCGACCCTCTGGAACCCCATTACGAAAAATTCATCTAAAAAGTAAAAAATTAATCTCACCTGTTTCCCATAGACAATTTTGACTCTCCAGCAATTATGCCCACGCTAAACCAATATATGATATGAAAAAAAACCCACACTCGAAACATTTTGTGAGTCATCCGAAGCTGTGCTCATGCCAAAATCTCAGAATATAATAAAGCAAAAATCTCATTTTTGTGATATATATATAAGAAAGCGACTCTCTCTTAAATTAATTCAAAGAGAGTTGTTCAAGCATTGAACACTATTTTATATAGAAATTCTTCAGTTACAGTTTCAAGGGATCGGACCCATGAAATACGAATCAAACAGCATGGTTTAAAACCGATCCCCTGCAGCCTACACAAATATGTATGTTCTCAAGTGGTGCGCTTATCGCACTGGAAAGGGTCGCATAGCATGTCAGCGTGCAGTGCGTTGTCAAGTAGTTTTAAATAGATTTAAGATTCTCATGTATCGTACTTATCATGATACAATTATAATTTTATCATGGTACTTATAAGAGAACTTTACCGAATAAAATCAGTTTCCAAAAGGAGCTCATTGGAGTAAGACCTATTTATTTAGGGCTCCTCTTAAAAAGAGTCGTATTCAGAATTCTAATGAAAATTTTAATTAATTTTTAAGTACTGATAATGTTAAGGAATAGCAATGCGATTTCTAAAACCTAGCAATATTCATTATACCCCTGCAGACGTTATTATAATTTTGGTAAAAAGTGTGAAACGCAGTGAAGGAGACAACTTCGGGTCCCTCTGGAACCCCATTACGAAAAAATCTAAAAAATATTTTGTCTCAGGATTCTGGGGCAGAATGGTGAAGAATCTATCCAGAAATCGTTTTAGGTACTCTGCTTGGGAATCGGATGAGAATTCGGGAAGATATAGCCATCACTGTGGGCCATATAGGGATCAGATAATGAAGAGACGTCTCACATATAAACCGCAACATTGTGTCTTCTGGTGTTTTATATTCGGAGACTTCGACTTATCCACAGCTTCGAAACTATTCTGAAAATGTTTCCATTGTGGGTTTTTCTTAAAATCATATGTCGGTTAAACGTGGGGATAATTGTGAATTTAATTGTTTTAACTTAAAAATATAAATAATTTTTATGTAAAATGCGATTCAAAAAAAGACTGTGCCTATGATTGTGATGAGAAATTCTTTGTATTTTATATCTAAACATGTCCCGAGGAGCGGTGTTCTTATGGTGGATGTTTCGATAAGACACAACTGGGACAAGACAAGATTGCTGCGATGAAACCAATGAACATGAGAGCAAATATAGTCCAGAAAGGCAGAACTACAAGCCTGATAATACCGGATGCCAGTAAGTTTTAACATAGAACAAAGTTTGTCAAAGAACTATAGTTGGAGTATTATTTTTTTTAACAAATAACAGAAAGAAAAATTCTGATCTACGTTTTTTGTATTTACTTGTACAATCTACAAGTATCTAAATACAAAAATGTTGAGAAGAGAACCAAATATATTTTTGGGTCGGTGAAGTATTCTTTGTTTATCTTAGGGATCATAAATTCAAGTGCAAAATTAAAAGAATTCTTATTTACTATAAAATTTATATATTACTATATAAATTTTAAAGAATAAAAATTTACTATAAATTAATTAATTAAATTCACTTGTTTTCCATAGACATATTTGACTTATAAGCAATAATGCCCACGTTCAACTAACATAGGATATAAAAAAAACCCACAATCGAAACATTTTGAAATAATTCCGAAGCTTTCAACAAGCCGAACAAAATGAGACGACTCTCTTTTGTGATATTTAATCATAGATTCTCTTCCAGACGTACAGGCGTACTCCGAGACGTACTCAAAATTCTGCTGATAAGCTATTTGTTTTGGAAAGCAACAAGTTGAATATATAAACTACAATATTTGATTAAATTAAATGAAATACATATGTATTCTATTATACGAAGATAGGGCCAGAAAATGATCAGATATCCATACATACAATATATGTATGTACATACCATGGTATATGGACTCCATAGCCCTATCTTTGAATAATGACGCCAAAGGAAAATGTTTCCTTAAGTTGAAGGTGCTACAGGACTCTATAGCCTAGATGAGGGGATACTTGGATGAAAGAGCAAAGTTGGGCAAACCAGGCTCTTATCCAATTAAGTCATAACTCAATATGTGCTGAGAGATATGCACTTGGCCATTACTTAGGCGAAAGGCAAAAATTTACTCTAATAACTTTTTAGTTTGCGCTTTCTTCCGTCTTCTTTGCCGCCGGTTGCCAGGAAGATATTTTCACACCAGAGCCATGTAATTTGCTCCGTCCTTAGCAGTTCCCTTTTGGGTTGAAGCTTTTTGGCCAGCAGATTTTAGCTTATGCAGAGCAACAGCTCTCCCAGCATCATCTATCCGGCCAACCAACCATCACCGCCTCTCCTTCTTCTGGAGCTCCGATTCCAACTTCCTTTTATGGCACCAGCGAGACGGTGCCACAACTCATTTGGCATTGACCAGGATTGGACGTTGCCGCAGTCCTTCGTGACTGTTTCTACGAGCAACTACGGGGCTGCAGGGCCACGGCTTCCAGTTTAGCCCTCGATGATGGAGGCTCCATCTGACTGAAATCCGTCCACCCTACCGGCCCAGTCAGTTCCCAGCCTGGGCTTCATCTACACCCAAGTCCCACATCCATCTGCCGTTGAGAGCGCGCGCATAAATTATTCATTTGTAATGTGCACCATTTCTGTCTGTATTACAGAGGGAAAAAAAAAACATTTAAAACATTTTTGAACTTAAAATAACTTAATTATCTGAGGTACTACTTTTAAGGTTTTTTTTTTTAAATTTATTAAAAATGAAGGACTACATTAGCTAACGATTGATGTCCAATTGACGCTTAAAATTTCGATATTTTCTTATAGTGCAGGATCAGTGGCAACCTCTGGAGTCCAGAGTCTCGGCCCAAAGTTTTGTGTGCACTTTTGGCACAGGATATGACACTGACACTCAGCGCCGGCGCTCGTCCTGCGTCAACAACTTCCTTGGCTGCTGCTGGCGTTTACTTTGGTTTGTAATTTCCTTCTGGAGCCGGGGCCGTGGCTAAAAGAAAAACACCAAGAAATGGCACTGAAACCCCAAGAAGTGCACGGGAACATGACGATTCCAGCTGGACTGGGCTCGCAGTATCGCTTTCGTATCCTTATTTTTGTCTTTTTCTGCCCGTTGCATCTGCTCGCTCCTTTTTTGGTTTACCGCTTTCCACTTGGGAACTGCTGCTGCAATTGCAAACTTTAAACTTTGCTCTCCTCCTTGTAGGTCTGTGTGTCAAAAGTTTCATTTGTGGATTGAAAAATTATTTTTAGTTGCATATATGCAGAGTGTGTCACTTACAGGAGGGTCCTCTCCAGGAAGTATCTCTGCATCCAGGAACCAAAGCGAGCATCTCAGCCGCGCTCATAGACAAAATAGAAAGTTGTTGACTCAGTTTCCAGCTCCGGCGAAGCATAAGTTTTCCGGCTACACTTTTAATTACGCGCACACATGCCCCGGTTAAATCTAGATACTTTGTCTTAACCGTAAACCGTAAACACTGGTGAAGCTCTGAATCTATGGAAGAACATTAATTAATTAAAAATGCCAAGAAACGAGGAAGCTTAAACTTAGCATCAGACCCATTTAGGCCAAACTACAACATGGTCTTGTCCCCAGGAATACAAATTTAATTGCCTTCAAATAAGTTCTAAAATCTAGACCAAAATAATTGCATAATAAGATATTAAAGATGTTATGAAAGGAGTTAGTCAAAATTAAATTATTTTGTTAAAAAGTTAGAGAGTTTAGTTGTCAACTTACCAACACGTAGTTAGAAACTAGGCTACATAAAATTGAAAACTGTCAACTGAGCCAAAAATTAAGCAATTTAGTTAGCACTAAATACATTATTTCAGATATTTTAATGCTAAAATTGAATAAATTATATACACATTGCACCTAACTCTACTTTGGGTATTTGTATTTAGTCGTTGCGTTTATGTTTTTAAACAAACCAGCTGGTTGTTTGATGTGAGTACGATTTTGTTGACTTCGTTTGACCACGAATTTGTCAACAGGCTTGGCTCCCACACCCAAAACACATAGAAACCTACACACACAAACTAGAATCGAGGCCAAAAGCCGCAGACACGCACGTGCCATCCAAAAGCGGAAACGGAAACACGCTCCACGTGCACATGTGCATGTATGTGATGGCGCGGGCTGTTTATTGACGTTTGGACAGTCTTTGGAAATTATTTAGTTACAGCTTGTTTATTTGTGTAATTTTAAAGCGGATGCAAAAGTTTGCTAGTTGTAAAGGATGCAAAAAACGAGATTAAAAATTAGTTTGTGGCCGCAACGGAGGCACATTTTCGTTTGTAAATGAAAACGGATATTCACTGACAGCGGACAAAATAATTATTATAATGACTTAATTAGACGTTTTCAATATTCAATTCAATTTGCCAAATCCTATTATGATTGTGAATTCAAACAAATAACGAATTCATTATGAGTTTGATTGATTTTTGAGATAAAGGTTGTTTAAAGGGTCAGGTGCGGAATGCGATTTTGCTTGCTCTCTGTTCAACTGCGCAAACATTTGACCATCATCACCGAAAATCAGAGTCTCTTTTAGCTCATAACCGTGTCGGAGACCGGCTGCTTGTGACAGGACATTGCCTAATTAAAATGGCAAATCGTCAGCCACAACAAGGACTCCTGCAACACTCGTCGCTTGACAGCAAAAACAATAACGACAGTAGCAGCGGGTGCCGTAGGGGCAGAGGGAAAATTTTAAATGCAAATTTATGCACCGCCTGGCCAAAAAAACAAACGGAAAGCGACCAAAAACCCAAAACCTCTTCGAAGCCCCAAAAACGAACCATCAAAATTATGCGGATACGTTCCCTGGCACACATGGGCATTTAGTGCAGATACAGTTACCGGAAACACTCGCACATCTGCGGGACTCTACACTGCCGGCAATGATGAATTTGCTGCATTGCAAAATTTAAATTTGGTTAACGGTTTTTGGGTCGTGTATTTACCGCAGTGACAGAACTCGATCTGTTGAATACATTTTCGAAACACATTTTCTGGTAAAAAGTTTTTGCTATACATCTCCAATCAATTTAATTTATAGATTTTAACATTTTTAATAAATGGTACTTTTATAACATTATGAAATATTATTTCCCAGTTTTATTAGGCAAGTAAAAAACGTTTTCGAAAACAGAAACGTTGTTTCAAAACTCTGACAGGATGGCTTGGGCTTTTTCTGAACATACATACTAAGTTTGACATTCCGGGAGGCTCAGAGCATCAGGAAAATCTCATTTATGGCCCTCTCCATGTGCAGCTGGTCCGTGATGCTGTCGAAGAAGTAAATGCCAGACCATCGACAGGATCGACGAGAACACTGCACTCCAGCGGCTTTCATGCCCACATGGACACTCGTTAAAGGACCATCGAGGACTTGTTGGTGTCCTGCCAATGGTGTCCGTGTATTTCTAGAGGGTCCTGGTGAGGCAGCTTCCTGTTTATAGCTGACCGACACTTGTCATACTCCGTGGCATGTAAAAATGGATGGCTTCTCTCCGTTCACAGGCGCAGCACTGCATTTTACCGAGGGGTCATATCAGGGGGCTACGAAAGAGCTTTGTCCGATGGCCAGACGATACATAAATTCAACTGCAAAGTGTCATGTCGCACACACACATAGATCATGGCCAGAACACCCGACCTTTGTGGGTTCAAGATACGACTGCGGGCACTTTTGGGCTTCGGCTCCTAAAAGAGTCATTCTGTGGTTTGGCAATTAAGTCAATGTTAACGATGCTGACACAGAACACTCCCACACAGACCAAGATACAGTTACGAATTCTGATACAGACACAGATTCGCTACCAAACAGGCCGACAGGGGCACATTCGGTTTGGTGTGGAAAAATACGTAGGCAGCCATAATTAATTAGATACACAATAAATTACTCATATGCCACTGGCAGACCACAAGTGAAAAGAGACAAAGCGAATCTATTTTTTTTTTTTCAACAAAGGATCAAAATGATGTAGTACGTGAAAGCCGCAGGACAATCGGGTAGCAACAATTTATGCAGAATTTTTAGCTTTTGGCGTTTGTTACCAAACAAGGTTGTTCATTTGGAACTCTCTACGTATGTGATTAGTAAAAACATCAAGTGATATGAATTTCCGAATTAAGGAATTTAGAACTGAACCTTTTGGTTTTCCCTGTTCCCAAATTTATTATTAGTTTTATTCCAAATATTAATTTATTTATTAATCCAAATATTCTTAAAATAAATTGTAAAAATGTTTATTTCAAGAAGACCTTTATCCCTTGTAAAATCCACAAAGAACAGCAGCAAAACCACAACTAAAACCAAATACAAAAGCTCTGAAATCACAGGGAAAAGCAGAACTGGCGGTGAATGAAATAAAAACAGGCACAGATTGCATGAGTCGAGAAAATACGACAGCAGAAAGGCAAGGCAAGGGAAACAAGAACTATAATTTCCTAAAGGACTTAATTATTTTATAATAAGCACATGATGTGCCAGAGGGAACCGGGGCCGGAAAAGGATATTAGTCCGACTGCAGGGACGACGACGGCAAGGATACCGCACAACTGCAGCGCAAAAGTTGCAAAAGTTTTTCGCTGTCCCCACAAACGGTTGAAGGAGTGGCATGAGGTGAGTACGAGAGTAAATCCAAGTACGACAGAACACAAATAGTAAAAATATTGTGAATTCTTGTTTCCTTACCAATGATTTTCCGGCAACTCCGCCCAGAATGGTTTCTTATTAATAAGTTCATGCCAAAGTGAATATCAGCAATTAATATTGATTTGCCTGGGATGCTGGGGCTTTCTGGTCAAGCGTGAATTTAAAAATAAACAAAACCTCCAAGGGTCTTTGGGAAACCCGTGAGGCAGTGGTATACACAGAAGCCATGAATACATTTTCTATGGAATTGCTTAAATTTAAATGCTTTCGTTGAGTCTCTTAGGGGCAAATTAAAGTTAACTTTGTCGTATTTAATTAGTACTTGAGTCAAATCTCGATTAAAGCCTCATTTGCATAAACTTCAGTCTGTAGTCGCAGAGGCGACGAAATTTCCATTGCTCAAGCCCAAAAACGGTCACTTGTCTGAGGGCCTGGCAATAACATTAAGGCTGCATAAATTCGCATTACGTATCACGCATTACGCATACGCCCTGTGCGCCCGAGTGCCAGGAACGCTGGACTAGCCCCGTAGCAAACACGGACAAACATTTAAACACTTCAAAAACAATATAAATTCATTCAGAGAACAGTCGGCCATATCCCCACTATAACCATAAGCAATAAAACACACAGACATCGGATAGGCCAGGCCAACAATACCGACAACAATGCCAACAACAATGCATAAATAAAGACCGATGCCAAACAATTGATACTTTGGCCAAAGGAACAGACCAAACGGCCATTGAACAATTTGTACGAATTTATATACAACAAAAAGGGGGAGGAACACATTCAGCTAGGGGGGAAGGACGAGAGTGTTCAGACATCACACAACCAAACATTGAAACAAACATGCCGAAATGTCCGGGGAGTGAGCAGTTGCCGGATCCCGTCTATGGACTCCCGTAGCCGAACCCGGCCAAATTCATTTGAATTGCAAAACAAACACAAGCTCAGACCGAGCGTTGACGACATTGAGGCCTACTATATAGCAGTTATCCCAGAGTCCGGCTAAACGAGCTTAATCATGTTGTAAATTTGCATAATTCGACGTGAGCGTGAGTGTGAGCTGCTTCCAAGGAGCATCGAGGTCCTTGGAAAGACAATCAAACATATAATGCACTATCCTCGATACCGTCCCAAGATCGTGTCCACAATATTAAGCTCTCAACCAAAAACCTTTGAAGAAGGAAAACCAAACCATTTTCAAGGAATCTATCTTAGAGCTAACACTGTTTGAATTTTTGACTAGTGTGTTAACTAGTTTCTGAACAATAAATAGTAATCATGCTGACGCTATATCTTTTATACAGATCTTAAAAAAGTACCATGTGTTCTAGCAAACTTCCTGTTGAACACTATTTTAACAAAAACTATTCCAGGGCATTGGCTTAATTGGAATTTAATTGTGGTAATTAGCAGTGCTTACCAAAGTATTCGCTTTTCCCAGTTGACACTTCTTTTAAATAACAGATTTAACCAAGTTGGACTGAAAACTTTTTCCGTTCTCGTGCGGATTGCATTTATGCCATTTCATTGCACAAACTCATTCTAAACTGTCATACAAATGCGATTATATCGACCCAGCCATGGTTGGAGCCACGCCACATACTCGCAGTCCTTGTGAGACGGACAGGACATTATGACAACTTAATTGAAGGTTATGCGTGACCACAGACGCTCTCTAATACAAAGGTCGGTGGTGAATGGCAGTGTGATCACGCATCCAATTGCAGTGAATGCGATTACACAATTACTTTGTGGTTATTACGACGATTTCATGTTTTTTTTTCCACTAAGTAAGTGTCAACACACATTCTAATAAATAATGAGTTGTTGGTAGAGAAAATTTGAAATTATAAGCAAGGATAAGGTGTCTTACACATCTATTTCCACCATATTATATTAATATTATTATATTATATCATATTTCGTGCCCTACTATCTTTAAAGGTTGATGTAATCTGAAAAATCCTATAAACGAAAGTTCAAAGTGTCAAAGCTAAAAGTGCAAACGGAAAACTAAAAGATGATAGCAAAAAACATTCCCGAAACAGAAACCTTCCTTGACATTTTACTTGTTAGCTGAAATGTGCTGGCCGAAACTGAACACCATTTCCCGCCCGCTTAAAAGCTTGTCAGTTAATAGAAAACAAGTGACATCGCCTCCAGGCGACAGAAGGGGGTGTTTCATAATTAAGTCCAAATGAACAGCGAGCTCAATGCTGGGAAGCTCGGCCTGACCCTCGTCCAGAGTATCCCGAAACGGGAATAATGGAGAAAGGACCCCTCCACTACATGCAAGTGTTTGCAGTTTAATGGAATTTTTAATTTTTGGACCTCGGATCCTGGATCCCGGTTCCCGGACGCCTTGGAAAAAGCCGTTGCCGGAGCGTTGGGAATTGCTGCGAGCATCCGAAGCTGACATTATTACGAATTTTTTACTATTATTAAAAATGCAGCTAACATTAAAAGCGACACAAATTTGTAGCCGAAAAAGGGGGCAAGATGATTACTTAAGTGGACATGGCTTCCAGCCTTCCCCGTAAGTCGGGTAGCCAGTGCAGGAAGAGCTCCAGCAAAAAGACCAGAGCACTGGCCATCATGGCGAGCGCCAGGGTGAAAAGGGCAGGGGCAAAGTGCTCTAGATCCACCTCGGCCCGGGAGGTCTTGAAGAGACTGCAGTCCGGTCGCGACACCATCCAACGTCGGTCGTTGTACTGCATCAATCCGGTGGCTTGAAGATGCAAAACTGCTCGGGCCAAGTGCTCTCTCCAAGGCGAACCCTTGACCGTAACGGATCCGGTTACATAGGGTGGGTTGAACATGATCTCCTGGAGCTCACAGAACTCGGACTCCCCCATCCTCAGGTCAATTAATAGCCTATAGAGCCGATCGAGGGCCGTGTGAAACGCAAAACGCCCTTGCATGACCCTCATAGCTCCCTGCTCTAGACCAAGGATATTGTGTTCTCCCGCGTGGCAGATCTTCTTTGCGTACACATCCTTCACCAACTGATTTGTGGTGTTAGAAAACAAAGCATAGTTATAGGTGATATTCTCCATGCCGATGGCCAGGTTGCTGTCGTACAAGGCCTGGAGGTTGACTATGCTCCTTGGATAATCTGATAGCAAGGATCCCACTATGAAGGCGCCATAGAACTGCATCAGTATAAAGCTAAATATGCCGCTCGCGTATATGAGGACCCGTGTGGAGGTCAACCAGAATACCTCAGGGGCGGGACCCTGCTGTAGAAAGGTCTCCAACATAGTAAACCATGCAAAGCCCATTCGCTGCTCCACCGAGGAGGAGCGTCTCTCTCGAATCTCCTGCCGCACATGAAGCAGGAGCAGAAAAGTGCTCACAGTTACCAGAACGAGGACACACCACCAAACCTGATTGCTGAGCGGCTCAAAGAAAATGTTCCTTATGTGATTGCGCCGCGGGTGCCGAAATAGGAAGTGTACACTGCAAAAGAACCGCAGGTCAGACATTTGATGAGGCAAGGAATGAGAGGGCTGACTCACGGTTGGGTGTGCAGAACAGGCGAATAGTGGACGGAGTCCAGCCTATCAAGGACGAAGCGCATGGGACACACTGCAAAGTCCGCGGCGCCACTCGTCACATGACCCATCACCCCGGACCAGCTGCCGTCCTTCAACATCTCGCCCCATTTGTCTGTAAACATTATCTCCAGCCTGTGGAGAAAGAAGTTCATATATACTTTTAGAAACCAGAGATTTCTAGCAGTTATTATGAACCTGAAATTGAACATTTCCGTGATTAGTTGGAAAAACTGATAAGTTTTCCTCGACATCGGATCAAATTGCTGAAGGTGGACATAGTCGGCCAGAAAGGCCATATCATCGTAGCCAGGCGGTTTCTCTGTCAGCTGTTGGTAAAAGAAAAAAGTCTTTATGTTTGCTCACGGGCGAACCTTTTCAGAACTGGAGAACTGACTGGAGTGCTGCCGACCAGAGTGATATTGAAGAAGTTGTTTCGCCGAGCTACCCTGGAGGACCTATCCAGCAGCTGGTATCCTTTTAAGGAGGACCACTCTCCTCTTCTTTGAATAATTAGTGGCAACTGCTGGCGAACTCGGTATAAATCATACAATTGCCAAGATGAACTGAAAAACAAACATTAACCTGGGAAATATGTTACATTGAATACTAACTTATCTAGACTTCTCATGGCCACCGTTATATCTGCGTCTATGGCCATTTTGTAGTCCCGAAAGTGCTCGTCAATAACCTGCTCATCGGTTAGAAATTCCTCGGTGGCACCAAAAATAAACCATGCCAGTGAGTTATTAAAGTATCCTGCCTCTGAGGCTGGTTGAAAGACGCGTCTTTTTATGAGGGTGTGCTTGAAATTCAATACCAGGACCGCCGTACGCGGACTGTCGTAAACCGAGAGATCCTCAAAGTTGGCCAACATTCCTGGCCGGTAAAATTGCACACGATAGTTAGCCAACAATTTCTGCTGGCATTCAATTTGCCAGTCGCCAGTGGCATCGCCGTCAGCAGGACCTCGCACAACCAGGACCTGGTTTAAGTGCTGCGAACGCAAAAAGTCCTCGAAGGCAGCCAGCTCTAGGAAATTGGTATTTATGCTTTCAATTTGCAGCACGCATAAAAATGCTGTTAAAATTATAAAAAGCCATGAAATAACTTTCACTTGCAACTTAATCATTTTATATGGCCACTTTTGCTCAGATTCTGTCGGTTTTTTCTCCTTTTCGGTTGCTTTTTCTCGTTGGCTTGTGTTTGCTTTGTGTGGAGCTTCCGGCGTTTTTATAGGGTTTCATTTTCCCCGTCACATGCATAATTTATTCACATTTATCATATCGGTGTTTCCGGGACTCAAGCAAATTGTGAGCTTGACAAGAAAATTATTGCTAGGATGCATACCTAACCGAGGGTGATACCATTCAAAGGATATAATAGTATTAATAGTATAATAAATGCAACTATAATAAGATAGATATCAAGCTATGGCCTCTGAAATGTGTTTGATTTTGCAAGAACAGAGATCCTTTAAAGTTGGCTAGTCACTTTTGATTTGGTGCATCGATCAAAACTTCATCAAATTTGCATTGTAGTTGGCCTTTATTCGAACTGCACCTAGGACAAAGGAAAAAACGGGATCCTGTAGCCGGCGTATCCAAAAATCCAATAACTAGACGCAACATTAAGCAGGACAAAGCTGCTGGCATTAGCGTGACATTATCCGACTGCAGCCAAGCATCCACGAAACGGAGCCAAGGACCTTAGCGTGTGTCCTTAGAGTATAAGGTATATATATATATATATATAGGAGTGTGTGTGTGGCGGAGAAAATTTTGTGAAACTTGAAAGCAAATCCTGGAGCTTGCAACTTAATTTCATGGCACGCGGCTGCGCTGCCGCGTAGCATGCAACTTCATTCGGGCAATTTGCTTCACGACAGCTTGCCACGTGCCAGAACGAGAGCGGTGGCAGGGGTGGCAAGATAGAGTCCTGCAAGGACTTTAAGACTGCTCCGAAATTAAAAGGAATTACATTCAATTTGTTGACATTTTTGCGGATGCCGATGCGGATGCAGCTCCCCTTTTTTGTTTCGCGTTGTCCTCTCGAGCTCGGCTTAGCTGACTTTCGCCGGTAATGACAAAAAACATTTTGTGCAAGGCCACATGCAAATGAGCTGCAGAGAACGGCAACAGCAGCGACAAGAACAAGGCCATTCAAATGTATTCATTTCGTTGAAGAGGGGAAACTGCCTGGCATTTTATCGCAAGATTTCCCGTCGCGTACGCAAGTTGCTTCCAAGCCCGCAATTCCCATTCGCTCCACCTTGAGAGCTACGAAATTCCAAGTTCTCACATCTGCAAAAAAAATTGAGTATACGCCGTGTATCCAACCAGACAACCAGACATTAAATTAAGGTGTTTTTTCCCCATTTTCATACACTAATTTAATAGTTCCTACTTAACATTTTCTTCTCCAAAGATCGGCTAAATTAGTGGACTCTTTTATTAGCCTAAATATAGTAAAACATTTGATAGCTCTAGCTGAGTCCCTTTAAATTCTAAGCATGCACTTAATATTCCTTTCCAGCCGTGAGGATTTTATTTTTCCGATGGAGAAGGAGCAGCCCAAAATAAACTGTGAAACATTTTAATTAATTTCGTTCCCAAACGTAGGATGTTATTATTATTATTATTATAAAATAAGATTCTTTTCAAAAAATTACAATTTTCTCGTTCTCGGTCGTATTTTTCTTGATAATTATTTTTACGTTTCAACTGCGGGGGATTTTAATTGTAGGTAAGTATGCTAGCAACCGGCAAAACTTGTCCATGGGCCAAACAAAAACGGCAAACAAAAAAGAAAGCGGAAAATCCCTTCCAGCCATGGGACGCAGCTCGAAAAAAATATAAATCCCTCAAAATGACGACAACAATATGCGACTTTTGCTTTCATAGAAAGAAAAGCAAGAAAATTAAGTCACCTTAAAATATTCCAAGAAATTTAATGAATTTTAAAATGAATTATTCCCCATAGATTCCCAGTGAAATATTTTTTTTTTATTTAACATTGAGTTTTCTCAATTCATGAGTGTTTAATGTTGGTGCGAACTGTTTTATTTGCGAATTTTCTCCACAGCTGCCACTGGGCCGCATAAAGTCAACTCATTATGAAATTACTGCTAAAAACTAAGCTGCCCTGGGCGGAAAGAATGGGATCGGGCCAAAATGAGACGACGTGGATGACTGGCAGCGGAGAAAGCAGAGAAAGCCGGCAAGGAAAACAAATTAAATTTAATCGATTTGTGAAAAGCTGCCAGACAACAGCCCCCTGCTGCAGGCACTCCAAGTGCCAGGCGTGGCTGGGTTGCATGGTAAATTAAGTGGAGGCGTATTCGCACTCCATAGTGTGGACTGCGGACTTCACTTCACAACCAGTGGCTGGAACAGAAGCCAAGCGACCAGCGCCACTGGCCCACTTGTCGACTCTAAGCGCATTCTAAACAAATTAAAATTCAATTAAAAAGATGAAACGCCATTCCAGGGCTTAAAATGCACACAGAAGTGAGTCCCTGCCAAGTGCCATGGCAGTGTAAAATGTTCTCTTTTAGCCAGTTGGTCTGCTGCTACTTAGTCTTGGCTAAAAGACATCACATTCAATTCATTTAGCAGCAACACGTTATCGCAGTCTGTATTTATTAATGTCATTTATAGTAATAAGGACCATAATGGTTACACAAAAATGAATGGATTATTTTTGCCATTTTATTGTTCACATTTTGAAGAGAATAGAATGAAAGCCTAAAGTAATCATATTCTTGGTTGTAATACTTACTTGTAGTTATTTTTCGCACTGTAAACCATTTTGCGTTGCAGTTAAGGCCGATGTGGAAAATCATTAATGCTTTTCCCGTCACTCGAGTGGTACTTGAGCATCATTTCCAATTACGAAGTCTCAATGCAGACGGCTTAGCTGCTGTCTTCGACAAAGAATTTGCGCTGATGATTTTTGGTTGTCACTCCGCTCCCAACCACGGCCGTTTCCAGAGCCACTCCCGGTAGGGGAGCCCTGCCTGATCTCATTTCATCCCGACCCGTCCGCCGGTCACGGTCATCGACGTGGCAGCTCTCATTATGGCCACTGATGTGGCCCGCGGCGGTTTTAGCCGCCAACTTCCATTTGTGCGGCTGTCGTCCTCTGTCTGCATTAAAATCGGCGTCCTTCCAATTCACACCATTACCGATCCCCATTCCGGATTCCCCTTGTCGGATGTCCTTTTGGCGAGTCCTGTGACGGCTCGCTGTGGTCTAATGGCTGGAAGCCTATTGTCGCTGCTGGTGCCGTAATGAATTGGCTCTGGCCGAAACTTGGCCCAGCTGGTTGGCTCCGTAATTTGAAAATGGCAAAATTTTCGCAAGATTTTACGTTGATTAACATACGTCGTTTAGGACATCATACGATGTTTCCTTAATGTCGTAGCCAAGGCATCATCAAGTAATTTCACAAAATGTTCTCCTGGAACTCAAGTACTTATTAGCAATCCTGCATTGGCATTTTGAATGGCGTATCGATATACAATTCAGCACCACACTTGAGACATGGATCTGCAAATCATCTTTGGTCCAATTAAAGCCAGGACTTTGGGTCACTTGACGCAATTAAAGGGCTTGACAACCATCGCACCGCTTGAGAAAACCTGCTCCAGGCCCCAACCCATAAGTCGACTATAAAGGAGCTTAATTTAAAATTTAAACCCTTTTTGCTGAAGGCGGCGACCGCAACGTTTCCTGTCCGATTTCCCAGTCCCCGAGCCTGGATGCAGTGATGAAAAAAATATATATTTTTGTGCCCTTCCGGCAACGGAGGTCGGTTCGGCTGTCGGTCGGTTGGTCGGCCAGTCGAAGGACTATCAAGCAGCAGCAGCCAGGACGACAGCAGGGCAAATAATTTTTACAAATTATACGCTCACATGCCAACTGAGAAAAAGGAAAGACAAACAGAAATCGACGAGGGAAAAAAATTATATCGAATGTGCGAGAGGGAGAAATCAGGCGATATCCTCGGAGGAAAGGCAATAACAAGTCCAACCGATGATTGGGTCTGCTGCCGGACTCCGACTCGATTGACTGCACCAATAATAACTTCAAACAAAGGCCGGCCAAGTAGTTACCTCCAGCCATCTCCTCTACGCCTCCTTCTCTTCTGGTCATCGCGCTTTTTGCCGGTTCCGCAGTCGGCCATGTTTGTTTAATTTTTGCCACCGCTGCCGTCTTGATTCGCTTTATTTACGTATCCTTGGAAAGAGTTTTGTAATTTTTATTGATTTCTTTCAGTCTGTAACTACTCTGTAATAAAAAGATTTCATCAAAGTATTTGGATTATATTACAAGCCTTTATTAGCCTAAATCGAAACTAAAGAAAATATTTTGAAATATTTTAAGATATTTTTATAAGAAAAATACAGATTTTTGTGTACATTTAATAGATATTCATACCTTTGCTCTTCAGCAAGGGTACTTAACACGTCGTTTTATGATTTAACTTTGATTTTATTCCATAGTTTTATTTTTTCAACCGCTTTTGGTGCCTTTTGCTGCAATTGTTCCAATCGGCCAACTGCTCGTTTCCGCTTTTGTTTTTTGCCCGGTCTTTTCTTCTCCTTGGGCAGCAAACAGGCTTCAAATTGAACGGAAGCCGGCCACGAGTTATGCCCCGCTAGCTACCGCCCACTTCCTTCGCCTGTCGCCCGCCACCCACTGCGCCGCACTCCGCCCCACCTTCTAATACCGCCCATCAGGATTCAGCGTTCATCTCCCGTCCAAGGCCGAGTCGGAGGCATTGTTCCATGTCGTGACTCCTTCGGCTATTCCAGCATCTTTTGTTGTTTTTTTTCAGGGGATTGGGAAACGTTAGAATGGGCGATGGAAGAGCTCCGGTGCCGCCCTTTTGTCGCTGCGCTTCCGCTAACCTTTTTTTTTTTTGAGCCGGCCCAATTTTTCCTGCTGCGCTGCTCAGTTTGATTTGCGCTGATTTCTTTTCATCCCAGTGTCCTTTAAAGCCCACTCCGCGTACATCTCCGGACTGCCTTTTCCATCAATTGGATTTTGTTAGTTTCCATTTCATTGAATTCTCACATATCCGCATCCGCATTCGCATCCAAGCTAGTTGGCAAAATTGTGCCATTAG